AAAGTATCTAAAAAAATGAAAGTAACATTCAATGATGATGTAGAATTTATATTTATTTTAGATATTTTTTTAATATATAAATTATTTTTTTATTATTTTACTGAAATGCATGGTGTAATTTTTTTTTTTTTCACAATTGCAACTTGTTATTTTTTTAATAAAAATTTATATTTGTTTTAGATATTTTTTTAATATACAAATTATATTATTTAATATACAAATTATTTTTTACTATTTTTTATAGTGTCATTTTTTTTCCGCAATTGTAACATGTTATTTTTTAATCAGAATTTATATTTGTTTTATATATTTTTTTAATATCCCTATTATTTTTTCAGTTTTTTTTATCAAAATAATTCAACAATCCCATCACTAACTATAGTATATGGGAGAAGTTGAAAATAGTGCGGCAGTAGATATGTGGGTTGGAAGAAATCAATAAATGCTGAGTTTTTCTTTTAAATCAAGAAATTAAAAAATTAAGATTGGGATATTGGAGCTCCTACAAAGCTTGTGGGTTAGAAACCTCTTTTTCCTTATATAATAAGAATTTATATTTATTTTAGATATTTTTTTAATATACAAATTATTATTTTTAGATATTTTATAAAAATAATTTAACAATCTTATCACTAACCATAATATATAGGAGAAGTTGAAAATGGTGCTGAAGTAGGTATAAAAAAAGTTAAAAGGCTTTTGGGTTGTGAGAAGTCAATAAATCTTGAGATTTTTTTTTTCTTAAATTAAAAAATTAGAAAATTAATATTGAGATATTGAAGTTTCTATAAAGCTTGTAGGTTAGAAACATTTTTTTCCTTAGGTCGCACATAGGTATGGGACCCACATGATATCCACATTATAAAATTCTCACACTCATATGAGACATTTAAAAAAAAAAATTAAGATAAAATACAAACACACCTCCTGAGATTTATTTAAATTACAAATGACCCCTATAATTCTAGAAATTACATTATGCTCCCTAAGGTTTTTAATTTCATAACAAATAGGTCATTTTATTAATAAATTATCAAATTAATTAACAGCTTTTAATAATGTTAAATTTTATTTCAATTAATAATTCAGATAATTTTATTAGAATAGTTAGAAATTTCACTTTTTCAATTAATTTTGTTAAATAAAAAATTCTAACCGAAAGATATTTATAGTTTTTTAAATCATAGAGAACAATTCGTATTTTAAATAAATTTTAAAAAACATATTTATAATTTATCTAAAATTTTAATAAAATTTTTAAGATAGTTAACATTATTCTTTCCTTGGCTAATATACAGATCAGTACATATCACGTTAACCTACCGCATTAAAAAAAAGTATGCTAAAAGATGTTTAGATAAATAATTTGAGTGGGGCAGTCCCTACTCTCAAAGTTCCAACTCGCGAACACCATACACGTATATATAATAGTGACATTTGACAGAAAACTCCCACCAATGTCTATTGTCAAATATTCTATTGTACTGGCTTGTTTGTTCTCTTGTTTGCTTGCTTTGGTAGTTTTGCTTTTTGATCTTCCCTTCTAACTAGAGTTTTTTTTTTTATTTTAAATACTCTAAAAAACAAATTTTAAAATTGATTGACTTTTGAAACTATTTAAAAATTTAATTTACTTTTTAAAATTACATTTTGAAAATATAATTTATGATGACATGGACTTCACTTTTTGAAATTGCATTTTTAACATGAGATTTCAAAGTGAAATTGTATGTTGAAAATGTAATTTCAATTTCAAAATTGCATTTTCAAAATGCGATTTCAAAAAGGATGTTAATTTTTCAAATAGTTTGAAATGTCAGTCAATTCTCTAAATTATTTTTTTTTTAATATTTATAAAAAAAAAAAAACTCCTTCTAACTGTATATACTATATGCATCTTATAATTAAAAAAAATAATATAATTTTATAATTTTTGAATCATACTTGAAAAATGTCATCACTAAACATGACATGAGACATGAGTAGGTTTCTCTCCAATCCATTTTTGTGAATTGAACGGTACTGTTGGGCTTGGGAGACCGATCACGGGTTTCATTTTGATAATCTGAATCGTTCAATGTGTAGATCGTCAAGTATTTTATTTCTACAAAAAATTATGTTGATCAGATATCCATAACCCCTTGATCAGATCATATTTTTTCAATGATAATATGATTTTAAAAGTAAATTGTTAACAAAAATGTGTTATGATCAAAATGTTATCGATATCTGATTAACGTGATTTTCGAGAAAAATAAAGTACTCGATGAGCTCTATATATTCAACGGTTCGAATCATAGAAATGAAACTTGTGGTGACCCCACAGGCCCAACAACAACTCTTAGTCTAGGTACAAGCCTTCTCCTATGATTTATTGTGATAATTATGATTTGACTATGATCTACTATACTCTTAGTTATAAGAAAAGGTGTACCCGGTGCAATTTAGGCCAATTAAGATCTACTATACTCTTAGTTATAAGAAAAGGTGTGCTTGGTACGATTTAGGCGATTTAAGAATAAAATATAAACCAAAATATAAATGGCAGGTTGGCAAATAATCAAATTACTGTTTGAGACGGTTTCAATTTGCTATTTGCTAATCGATTGAAGAATATTCTTGAATAATTATCAAATATTTGTATAATATATAAGATTAATTTATATAATAGTTTTCATTTATATAACACAAACAAATTTTACATAACATTTTTCATGTATATAACTATTAATTTACAATAAATTTCACATCTTAAATCTCACTTACACATTTTTCCTTTGATATTTCATTAAATGTTAAGATAAATGGATGTATTAATTATAGCATAGTAGAGCAATTTTGAAGGTGATTTATAAATTTCAAATTTTAATTTGCGATTAGCAAATTGATCGGTATGAATTGGACGATTGTAGACTAATCAGTACGAATTGAACGATTTTAACAGAGGGCAATATTTTGTGCAACCATAATTATGAGTTATTGTTATAGTAATTATAACTTATTATGATTATTATTTTGATGGATTGAGCTTCCCTACAGTCCAAATCTGAATTAAAAGGTGTTGTCCAGAACTATAGAACCCACACAGGTCCAGTTTCAATTATCCGAACTGTTCATTTTATCTAGCATTGCATGTATCATCTATAAAATATATATATTTATATATATATTAGGCTTATCTATATTTGTAACCCTTTCATTTTATTGAGTTTGTCTCTAAAAAATGAAAGTTACTGTATTTTTAAAAATAAATAATTCTTTTTTATTTTTTTTGAATAATATATATGCAAGATCTAATAAAATAAACGATCTAGATTATCGGGACCCATGGTAAATCCAACGAATCGGAACAACATTCTCCAATCCAAATGATAGACTAGAGAGAAATCTAACTTTATTTTAATTATGATAAAAATAATCTTTAATTATACTTTATACGTCCAATAATTTTGAAACACAATTATATAATTGAAAATGTATTAAAACATGAAAAATAAGGGTATAGACATTTTTTGTCGGCTGAAATTCTAAATGCCTAGAGTAATTTTGGGTTCTTTAAAAAATATTTTAGTGTGGTGTTTTTCTTGATTTTGATCAATTTATATCGTATGTTAATTATCAGCAATCTATGGCCCTGTTTGGCCAGACGATTTTATTATTATTATTATTAAAATTTATAAAAAAGATAAAATAAGTTAAAATAATCAATAAAATAAAATGTCACATTAAATTCATAATTATTTTATTTTTTTCTTTCACAAATATCACATCTAACTATAAAAAATCTGATTATTTTTTCAAAAAAAAAAATTTTAACATATTATAATAATTAAATATTAAAATAACTTGTTAAAATAGCAAACTTTTCAAATGAGGCTAATAATTTGCCATTAATGTCAACCACTAAAGAAATTACTAGTTTTCCACTTTCCTCATGGGACCTTAGTTTTTGAATTTTGTAATTAAAAAAAATTATAACATAATTTTTAAAATTTTAAATTATATTTACAAAAAATATAATCAAACATTATGTAAAATATAATCAAAGTTCATAAATTATAATTAAAATTATATCATAATTAAAAAAATTAATCATAATAAATAAAAAAATGACATCCACGTACCGATGCATATAATAAAATTGCTGGTGTAGTGTAAACACAATATCCTACAACTACAAGTGGATCTCAAAATCTTGGAAAAGTTTATGCCCCATGAAAACGAAATCTTATTTGGTACTATATATTTTCAAAATAATGTATCACAACTTTTGAAAGACCTATCAAACCACAATTACAATTCCAGAAAAAAAAAATGTACATAGTAACATTCTATATATTCCTAAAGTTCTGTTTGATTGAAAAATTTTAGAAGAAACAGAGAAAAAATATATAAAAGGGACCTTAGTTTTTGAATTTTGTAATTAAAAAAAATTATAACATAATTTTTAAAATTTTAAATTATATTTACAAAAAATATAATCAAACATTATGTAAAATATAATCAAAGTTCATAAATTATAATTAAAATTATATCATAATTAAAAAAATTAATCATAATAAATAAAAAAATGACATCCACGTACCGATGCATATAATAAAATTGCTGGTGTAGTGTAAACACAGTATCCTACAACTACAAGTGGATCTCAAAATCTTGGAAAAGTTTATGCCCCATGAAAACGAAATCTTATTTGGTACTATATAACGAAATCTTAATGTATCACAACTTTTGAAAGACCTATCAAACCACAATTACAATTCCAGAAAAAAAAATGTACATAGTAACATTCTATATATTCCTAAAGTTCTGTTTGATTGAAAAATTTGAGAAGAAACAGAGAAAAAATATATAAAACCAAATAAAATGTGTTACATTTTATCTATTTTTTCATTTTTTTTAAATTTCTTCTCAAATTTTCCGACCAAACAAATATATAAAAATTAAGAAGAGAATATATCACTCACAAAAAAAAAAAAAAGTAAAATTAAAATTCACCCTTTTTCTTTTTTTTTTTTTTTTTTCTGAATATAATCATCAAAAGGTCCATTTCCAGATCTTGATCCGGAGATCAACCTTGCAGTTGGCATTCGAAGTGGTCGCCATAGTGGCCTTCTTCCCGGTAGGCACAGCAGCTTTAATACCTTCACACAAAACCCTAACACCGACCTTGTTAGTCTTCAGCCCTCCAATCTTCACTTTAACCTTCGTATCCAACTCAATCTTCATTGGCAAACTCTTCTTGTTCTTCAGATCCGATTTCAGTACACTAACCGACGTACTATCCATGCTTTGACCATTCGATGCGATTGTTGTTCTCAAAATAGTTGTGTTCTTCCTGAAATGCACAAACCCAGGAATCGACCCATCACCCACATCGACTCCGTCGGCTGATATGGAAACTGATATGGGGTCGTATAAGAACTCGAGCTTCTTGTTGGGATTGTGAGCGTTGATTGTGAGGTTGAACTTGGAGCTGAGTTTGGAGGATGATGATGATGGGGTGAGGTTGAATTGGGGTATTTGGAGAGAGGAGAGAGAAAAGGTTGGGTGGTGGGGGCGGTAGAGGACCCAGAAAATTGTGCCGGCGATGGAGGAGAGGAGGAGGATGAGGAAGACGATGAGGGTAGTCCAGAGGCAGCAAGAGCAGCAGCAGCTCCGCTGTCTGCGGTGGTGGCGGGGAGGTTGAGGACGGTAGGGTGGGCGGCTGGCGTTGTAAAGCTGGCCCTTGGTGGCCGGAAAAGATAGGTTGGCTACGCCGGCGGTGGTGGTGGTGCCGTTGGCGGTGGACTTGGAGGAAGGGTAGACCCTGTCTGTCATGATTTTCTTTCTTGGCTTCACAATCACCTCAAGGAGTCTATTATCTTGGGTTAGCTTTGGTTTTGTTTTGTTTTGTTTTCTTATTGTTAATTTATGGAAGTAGTGCTTGACAGAGTGCAAGTTTGAGGGAGAGAGAGAGAGAGAGAGAGTGGGAGAAAATGCGAGTTGGAAAGAGACGGGTGTGGTGAAGATTAGAGAAAGAATGAGAATATGAGTAGATGGCAGAGAATAGTTTGAAATGGCAAGGTTAGATAAACCAGGGATTTGGCCAAGCGTGTACCACCCGTATGTGGTGTGAGAATTTAAGTTAAAAGGGGGAGGTTTCTCTTCAATTTGTTGGTAGATTAGAGTAATATTGTAAAATTTAACATGAATTTTATTTTAATAATTTAAATTATTAATGTATAAAATTTATTGAGTATTTTATAATTGTAAAAAAATAAGTTGATCAAATATCACTATAAGAAATTGTATTTTTCGCAACACAACAAAATATGTTGCTAAAAGGGAAAATTCGTTGGCAAAGAGTTTTGCCGACACACAAAGCTACGTTGGTAACCCGTAGGCAAAAGTGAGTTGGCAAAAGTTTATCATTGTGTTGGTAAAAGTAATGCCTTTAGTGACGAACATAGTCGTCGATAAAAGCCTTCATCCATCATCGGTAATTTACCTTGCGTCGGTAAAAGTCATTCAAATATGATGGTTGTGTAACACTTTTCGCGACACAAATTTGCATCGGCAAAAAATATACTTTGAGCAACAACGTATGCGTCGGCAAAAGTAAACTTTTGGCGACACATTTACGTCGGTAAATGTTGTCATTTGCCGACGATTTGTTTGTCGCTAGAACTTTACTTTTGGCAATGACAAATTGGCATTGGCAAAAAATACACTTTTACCAACACAATATGAGTGGACAAAAGTAACTTTTAGTGACACATTTACGTTGGTCAATGTTGCCATTTGCCAACGATTTGGTTGTCAATAAAGCTTTAGTTTTGGCAACGAAAAATTGGCATTGGCAAAAAATACACTTTTAGCAACACAATATGAGTTGGCAAAAATAAACTTTTAGCTGCACATTTACCGACAAGTTGTTTGTCAAGAAAACTTTACTTTTTGGCAACGAAAAATTTGTAGCAACAAAAAAAATTGAAAATCATATATATTTTTTTATAAGATTTACATATTTACAAGATGCATCCCTTAGGTACTACTATTACAAACTAATAATATTGATATTAAATCACCTAAAGTTGATGTGTAGGCAAAAAAACACTGCTGAAAAAATATGCTTTTGGAAGCGTTGTATAAAACCTAAAAGGGTAAACTCACTAAAATACTTAAATACATCTAAATTATGAACCCATAGTAAAAACAACAGATAACAAAATGAAAACATGAAACTAACAACAACCCAAATTTGCAGCAGACCAGCATCTAGTAGCAGCCCGCTTCACAGCAACATTACTACAGCAGCAGCAGCCCAGCAAAATTCTGCAGTAGCACACTAGCAGCAGCACACCAGCAGACTAGCAGCAGCAGTAGACCAATAGAATTAAAGATGAAGAAGCATTATTCTTTGGGAAGAGACTCAGATTAATTACATGTGGAAATCTATATCATTTTCAAGTGTGCCTTATGAGAGCATAGTAGTTATTTATGTGCAACAGTAGATTCTTCCAAGCGATTTTGGGTGGCAACACTTTCAAGTAAATAACTTGTCACAAATTCATGGTTTATTTACTTTGTAATTCATTTTCACCATATCAGAGAGTGTGGTTGAAGAATGGTGTGGCAAATATCAGTTACAGGAGTGACAATGCCTCCGATCAATTCCAGCAAATCTCATGACCTCAGTAAGCAATCTAAGCACTATCAAGTAGAGTAGTATTTGGTTGAGACTATCTTATCTCCTATTAAATTTAAAACTACTGATCCAAAGTCTGTTTTAAAAGAGAGCCTTAGTTTTTACCTGATCCAAATTCTGTACTGCCTCTCAAGAATTAGCAGACTTAGGCAAAGCAGCCTTCACTAGCTCAGAATAGTAAACCTTTTGGTTAATTTTTTAAGATGCATCTTTGCTGGGTTCTTCAGCCTCATCAATGTAAGCTACACGAAGACATGGATACCTGTGACAAGGAAATATGACAATCGTAAATTATGTGTAACGCCCTCAAAATAATAACATTAAAACCCATCAACTTAGACATGCATTAAGACAAAGAAACCAACCATCTTTCCATTAATCTGAATAGTTCTTACAAAAGTATTACATGTTAACAACAAAAGCAAGTGCCCTACGGGCTTACAGCTTTCCAAGTTAACACTTGGTTACAAAAAGAGAAGTGCTAACTCAATACATATTAAGCCATTGGCTTGAATTTATATGTAATACATCAAAAGAAAGCAAATAACAAGCAGTCTGTCTGCCTCTAGCCTCCCAAGCTAAGTCCTTGGAGGTGGCATGCTACCTGTACCTGAAAATGATGTCCCATAAAGGGTGAGCCACAGCCCAGTAGAAATACACTAAACCAACTATGAACAATGACTAAAAGATTAGCAGTTGATAGATGGTCAACACAGATACATCCATATATATCACATTTCGATTTCATAACATTAAGTCCATGTTACATTTCATTTCCCATGTCCTTTCCAACTTTGAGTTTGAAAACAAGGCTCAATACCTACCCAAATAACTTAATGAGATTTAGACTCATCTTTAAAACACTTTAGAAATTCATGAGGGATACACATTTTAATGCTGTATCAATAACACATAAACCATTCCCACACTTTGCGAAAGATACACATTTTGGTGCTGTATCAACATAACATAGAATCACTTCTATACTTCACAATTGATAATGATATACATTTTAGTGCTATATCAAATCAATTCAAACACTTCCATAATCAACACTTGATACACATTGTAGTGCTGTATCAATGTCACACAAAAATCCAGTTTAGAGGTCCATCCCCTATCTTCCCCTAAACCGTGGAGTACATCCTCCATCTCCTCCCAGACAACACATGTATATAAACATAGATCATATACAATCAATCAATACATAGAATTAATGTATTACTCCAGTTGCTATATTCAATAGCATACTCAATCGATTAGTTTTAGTTTGCCTAATCATCATGCAGTGTCTACAACAATCAAGACTATCCTCCACCGATAGCCCAAAGCAGTTATTTCTATACTGAAAATAAATGCACCAAATGGATATATAATCAACATTTCAACTAGGTGAGCGATGAACGAATCAAACTACACCCTTTAATCCCATACACATCCAATTCCACCATTCTCAATTTAATTCTTCTTTCTTCAAATTAACTATACCAATTAATTTATCAATGTAATTAGAGCATTTCCCCTAATTAACATCGCAACCCTAAGGTTCCAATTTTCATCAATAAACCAATATTGATCTCATTTCTCTATGCCAAACATGCATATAAGTTTATATAAACAAAACCCCAACTTTTATAAAATTACACAAAGGCCCAAACTTTCTCAAAATTACCCAACAACCCCCAAACTCATCAAAATACTAAAATTCAAAGACAAAACTCATGAAAAGGAGTAGGATATCCCTACCTCGAAGCTAGAGCTCAAACGGGGAAGTTGAAGGAAACCAAAATGCTCCAAACTCAAAGATTCACGGATCAAAAGCCCTCGACGATCAACCCAACTTTTACAAAGGCCGAAGGAAAAGGAAACACTCTAACTAGATCAAACCCTAGAGAGAAGGGAGTTTCTAGAGAGAGGAACTCTCAAAATGTCTTTTTAGAAAGTAAGAGAGAGAGAGAGAGAATGTAAAAAGTGATTTTAAAATGCCCAGCTGCCAACTGATATACGACATTCCCGCTCGAGCGGAGAACACAACGCTCGAGCGTCAAGAACAAAAAACTAGGTACGCTCGAGCGCAAGAAGGCCCGCTTGAGCACCAAGACACGAGAATAAAGTACATCCGCTCGAGCGCGAAAACCAGTCCGCTCGAGCATAGATTTCCCCCTCCCAAAACTTACACAAAAAAGTACTACCCGCTCGAGCGCTAGAGTACCCGCTCGAGCATAAAAATCACACCTGCAGAAGTTTTGCAGGGACATGAAATACTGGGAGTGTGCAATCTCCGCTCGAGCGCAACAAAGCCCGCTCGAGCGGAACGACCAAAAACCTGGCAACAAGATTTTAGACCAAGGTTCAACCTACCTGTTCGAAACATGCCCAACACATCCTAAAACTCAAACAAATGGAATTAAAGGACGACAACAAGATAGATACAACTACCAACTCCCAGAACCGAGTCTGGAATACAACAGAACAGTAAAGGGACAACCGGGATCGCTATATTATGACAATCACCAAATCCACAAAAGACTATACCAGAACACATACGTTGACATAAGCCTTAGAATGTCTTGTGCACGAGGATTTCTAGATCGTTTGTCAATCCCATATTGCTAGCATGAGACCACATATGTAAACTTCATATCGGCCACTGCTTGACATTGTGCCAACAATGACCTTTCTCCTTTAATCTGATCCTCCATATTTAATTCAACAGCCTTGTAGCCTTCCATTAAATCTGATCATGGGTAGTCATCAAGTAACAAAAGTGCATTCAGAGTATCTTGATGTATAACAATTTTTTCATTCAAATAAAAAGAATACTAGCATTTTTATTAACACCAAAGCGAAGAGCTGCATAACATCAATGATCCCAAATTCTCCAAATGGACTAGCAAGTACCTTCATCCTTGGCCATATCAAGGAAGGCCTGAAGTTCCAAAGCTTTCCGGTAATACATCATGCCTCTTACTGGCATTTGTAATAATGTGTCAATACAATGAAAAATGAAAGGATGTGCTAATAGTAAGATCTTGGTGCTACAGAACACACTCCCGCCATATACACAGACAACCAATGAAAAAACACATGCAGACATGCATCTGAGCACGTCCACACACTAAAACAAACAGCTTACCAGTCCTAGTCAATGTTTGGCCTCTATATGATGCCCAAAGGCGTATTTTTTCTAGATTGTCTTCTTCAAGTTCATCCGATCCTTTAAATTCTTCTTCATTGTCGTGCTTTACTCGTTCAAGAAAGTTGTTCCATTCATCTGCATGACCAATTTGATACCACCAAAAAAACAAAAAATGCTTGAAATGCCTATTAAAAAAACACAGTCCACCAATGTTGCCCATAGTGAAAATCTTACCAGGAAAAATTTTCTGCAGGTATA